AATTTCTCAAGGAAAATCAATTTTCGTTAACATAGACACAGACCCAATCTTCAATCCCAGTTCACTGTCGAAACTACTCCTTCAATCATCAATGTCGAAACTTCACAATTTCGAAATACAAAACCAATTCAAACCTATTTACTATGACCAACAAAGCTTCACAGTATGCATTTCGATTCGAATGAAATATACCAAAACACACAATTTTGACTTAAACCTATGATTATCAATTCACTAATCTTCTGTTTCGATTCGCAAATCCATTTCGATAGACACTAATGGAGAACACCATTTTTGACTTTTTATGTCTGACTTTTAGAACACCACTTTAACATTCTCTTTAACTGTCCATCACATCTATCAAAATGAATCACCAAATCACCGATTTCATTATGTTAATCACTTGTTCTTCACCCTTCGATTATTAATTCTGGTAATAATTTTTAAAACAATCAGCATCAATATCATTCATAAACAAGAAATCGATAACAACCTGTTGATTTTTCATACCATAGATCAATTACTATGAACTGAGATTAATCTCAACTTGAATCGATAGAAAGAATCATGATTTGATGAGATCAAGCTGGCTTGATGAAATATAGATTCACAAAAAAATATGCCCTATTAAGATAACGATTTAGAACAATTCAAATCGATTGAACAAAGAAGTCTAAACATGAAAGAATCAATCTAAATATTTGAGATGGAAGAATCATAAATCGTTGTAAAAAAATATCATCAGAAATAGATGTGAGATGTTAAATTGAAAAAATATCTGGTGCAAACAATCAGAACATGAGATACATCATGTACATTGAAATGATAGACAACAAGTGAACAAACTAAATTGGATTCGGCTTTTCAGTTGTCAAATGGATTTAATCAAAATGCATTTGGGCTTAGTTTTTATACAAATCAATGAACAGTGACATGAATAATATGGGCTGATTGATTTTTTTTTTAAATGGATCGGATGAATAGTCAACAGAATAAAAGATTGTGGACTAATTTTAGATCAAAAGAATTCATGAATAGATTGAGGATGGAACAAAAAAAGTAATTGGATCAATAGAATTTTGAAATAAAAGAAAATAGATTCAATGGAATCAAAACGATCAAAAACAATTACAAAAATATGATTTTGAGAGATTATGAGAGACTCAACATAGATTGTTCACATTGTGTTGATTGTTGTCAAATCGAGAATCGTTTCTTCAAAAACCACTTCAATCTTTAGAGACCCTCTTTGATATCAATTGTAGTATTATAAGCATTTGATTTGACATGCATAATTGTAAAGAACACAATAAACATGGTGATTCTGGTGTCTAAGAGATGCATTTGATTATGAAAGGTGTTCAAAAAACTATAAGCTAGATCTAGACAAATAAATAGCTCATGCTAACACTCTCAATGTTACATCTCTCAAGCACACTCTAATAGTGGTATGCAATCCACTATTTATAAAGGTGCTAACAAGCCTCTCTCTCTCTCTCTCTCTCTCTCTCTCTCTCTCTCTTTCTCTTGTTACAAGGCTCCAATCTCACATGTACAGGTGGATCTTCTCAAGCCAAGCCTTCACTAGTCATCTAATGGAGAAATTTGTACCTAACACCCCTGATGGCGATCTCAACATGTGTGATTTTGATATCTCTCAAACTGTCCAAGAGTCAAGTCAGAATCCATAACGTACTTGGTTACTTCACAGTGGATGCTCTAGACACATGATTGGTCTCAAGCCCCTCTTAACATATTTTATGGACAGTGATGGTCTGATTGTGGTTTTTGGTGACAATAGTGAAGGAGTTGTCATGGGCATTGAAACTTTTGAGTGCAGGGCATTCAAGCTAAAGAATGTGTTCTATGTCAAGGGTCAAAAAAGCAATCTTATCTTCATCGGTCTTTGGGGAACTGGTTACAAGGTTCTCTTTGATTGCAATGCAGGAAAGGTTTTTGGCTCTAAAAACAAAATTATGATTAGTGCACTCAGGAACAACAACATTTATATGCTTTTATATTGTTTGTTTAGATAATGTTACTTTACGTTTTTAACATTATGCTTTGCTACATTAAAACTTCTTAACATCAACTGCTAAAGCTTTAGTTTACTATGATTTTCTTTGGCTTCAAAAATTCTTTTCAACTTTTATTTACCAAAGAAGTATACATTGTACATTATTCTACTAACTTTTCCTATGCATGTTTTTCTCTCTTGATAGTGACCTTAACTGATTTGTTTCTTTGCAAAGGATCAATGTGTCATTCCTTTGATGCAACATCTTCTGAGTGGAGATAGTTAAAGTTGGATCTGCATCTTTTCTTCATCACTAACTGCTCTTTCTTTCTCTCTCTCTCTCTCTCTCTCTCTAACATTGACGCTCTTGCTGATCGACATGAAGTATCCTACCGATGAGGCCAGATAAGAGAGAATTGTGTCTAAAGGTATTCTTTTGGGGACATATTTCTTCCTTCCTAGACAACCAATTTCGGTTGTGGTGGGATGAAGTAAAGCTATGTGGCATAGCATGTGTAATTTCCATATACGATGTTACTGCTACACCGATTCCCATCAGAGATCCAACGAACTCTTCAAAAAGATAGTGCTCCTCATCACTTATATAATGAATCACAATGAGTGGAACCTTCAAGTTTTGTCGTGGTGACTCTCATAACTTGAAGGTTACAAAGATTGGATCCTTTTAACCCATTGGTTACAAAGACTGGTTCATGTTCTTCTCTTGTTCTTGGTGAACATGAATCTTGGAATCAATCTACAATACTTCAATGATTAAAGGCATATTCTCTCTTTGGTTCTGTGAATTGTGTTATATTTTGATATATTTGATCTTGTTTGCTTATTCTTGTATAGAGAGTGTTGAGGGATAGATTTTTTTGGAAAAAGAAAGTTCATTTATGGCCCTTCAATTCAAAAGATTTGATAAATCAGGTCTTTATCTTATTTCTGAAAAAGTTGCACAAATATCATTTTTAGAATATTTCCTTGTTTTACTAACTCTTTTGTTTGTATTCTTATATTATTTATTATTTCGTATTGTACGATTTTTAGAGATTTGATTGTGGCATTTCATAAGCCAAGTATGTAACTATTGATAAACTATTGTCCCTAGAAGCATGTTGTTGTATGTGCCTAAATCTCTTTTAGTATCTCATCAGTGTAGCGATTTGTTGAGATGACATTGAATCACCCCCTCGCATTGATTGTCTAGTATCGTCTAAAATTTCAAAGTGAGATTACCTAGTCCAAATAAAAAGTTATTGAATGGATTCGGTGTTTATTTTTATTTAACCGCCACTTACCTGACTTTGTCCCTAGAAGCATGCTTACTGTATGCCTTAGGTTTCATGTTCTACTGAAACAACGAGCATAACTTAGTGGCTTACCTTGATTGCATAGTCATTAGCATAAGAGATACTTTTTTCGTCCTTAAATGACAAAGGGTTATTCATGCCATTGACCTCATAGTCTAAGGTATGACATGGTACCATTGAACGAATTGACGGTGAACTTCAAAGTTCTAGATCGCAACTCAAATCTATGATACGGAAGTTGAACCACTTCTTTTTTATGAGCTGAAATTGTTTATGTTTCATGCTGATTCCACCTTAGCATTATTGAAACACTATATTCTCTCCTTAATTCTTCTCCATAAAACTTAAAGATTCACTCTGATATACCACACACTGATAAAAGTTTAAAACTCTGTGTCGATGGTTAGTCTATGTACCGTACGCACCAACCCCTTCTTGCCCTTACATTCTTCTTTAAAGCTTTATAATTCATCGTAATGCACCATACGCTGATGGAAGTTTGAAAATTTTATGTCGATCATTAAGCTAAACACCACAGCTTATCACATACATCATTCCAATCTGGTCATTTTTTCTAATAAAAGTGATTAATGAGTCAGCGTATCAAACCACACAATGATGAAATCTCGCAATACTATATCAGTGAATGATAGTTCAAACCCATACTATTAGGAGACATCACAAACTAAATTGATTTCAAGCTAAAACTCTGATACGCTAATTGCTTCGGTTGATGACTATTGTTGTTGATGCTATGTCTCACTGATATAACCTCCATATTCGAACGGTAAGTTTTGGATGAAGATTAAAAGATTTATCAATATCTTGGGATACGAGATTTTTATGGCGCCAATCTCTTCAATCTTTGGTTACGTAAATGGGAAGGAAATTTTACGGATAAATTGGGGAAACTCTCTTCTAGGTGATTTTCACAGTTCATTCAAACAATTAATTTTCTCTCTCGAAGAAGGCTCTCTAGACCATCATCTTTCTCACATTCTCATCATGTGAAAGGCTTTGTTCAAGTTTGCTCCTACTGCTAATGTCGTCAAACGCCCTCGTACCCCTTATTCTCCTATTGTCATTCAAGTAAACAATGTGGCATTCTCTGATGTTATCCTGAAACAGTTAGTCAACTCTAGAATTGAAGACTTCGTCAACTATGTCAAAAGTTTCCCTCTTCGATATACCTTCTAATACTTCCTAGGCCTATTTTACCCAAATCAAGTATGTTAGTTCTATTATTCATGCTTTGTTGATTCTAGTGCTCGAACCATTATCGGTACCATTGGAGATGGGGAATCTAGGGTTACTATTGATGTGGAATCTTTTCGAATTAATCTTCATCTTACTCAATCAGAGAACTATTCTACAATTCCTTTAGTAGAAAAATGCAAGTCCATTCGAGGAATATTAGGGTATGAATTTTCCCTTCATGGCACTTCTCATGTCCATCAAAATACATTTTCGTCAATGTTTTGGTGTAGGGTGGAAGTACCTATCAGGTGTAATTAGTAAATGCCTTGGACACAAAACTAGGAGTGTAGATCAATTAAATCTGTTTTCTGGAAAAGAATTTTGTATTCCATGGTGTGCAAAAAATATTGGATTTTTCTCAACTCTTCCTAGATCAACTCATTGATTGTATCATTGGGAACAATAAGCCAATGTATGTTCCTTATCCTCGTTGGCTTGGACTGATTATGTCCTATGATGAAGAAGTTTATAACATTAATCATGGAGACATTATTCCAATCTCATCCCTCTCCTCAAACATCACCAATGTTGCTCCTTCTAATGGTGATATGCATATTACCCAAAGAATAGAAAATTGGATTGCAAATCCCTACACTATTGAATCCTCTGACTCTGAAGAAGAGGATGATAACAAAGAAGGCGTTAATAATGAATAAGAACCTGATGATGAAGAAGATGCTGAAGACGAAGAATATGAACTTGCTACTGATAAAGGTGAAGCCTCTACTGGGGGAATTAATTCTCCTCCAAAATTGAATAAGCACATTTGATTCTCTACTACTTCTTCATCTACTCCCTCTGCAAATGATATTGTAATGCGTGGATCAACCCCACCTCAGGTGGAAACTACTAATCCACTGATCCAAGATGTGATTTCTCCAAGATCAACGTCTTATTCTCCTCAAGCTGAAACTCTCACTCCTGTGTCAACACCTCTTTAGACTACTTTTTATTATGGGGAATCCAACTCCAACTTTCAAACTACTATGCTCTCTCAACTTCCTCTATTAGTTACAATAACTTGATCTTTGGGAGAAAAACTGACTAGAGTATAAAAGGATATGGTTGATATGAAATATTTATGACCTTGGGTGATGATAATGATAATGATGATATGGTTATTGAAGATACTCCTCCAAATTATCTAGGTGATAATCCTCTACCTCCATCATCAAATCCATTTTCACCTCATTCTCCACCATATCACCCCCCTCCTCACACTACTTCACTACCTCCTGGATCCCCTCCCCAAACTGATGATGCCAAAAAGGGGGAGAAGAGTCAAGGGAGAAATGACCAGGAAATGGTGACTGCAAAAACTTCATCTCTGACTGAAATGTCTGAATGAAGAAGGGATGATAATCAAAAGGTAATCATTTTAGTTGAACAAGAGAGCAACATCCTAGACACTGATGCAACAAATGATGATCAGCCTATCATAGACGATGGTGGTTAATCTGAGATTGATGACTATGAAGGGTTTCTCGACTTGGGGTTTTGTCACACAAGTCGCTATTACTTTGAGTGTTGTTTACCCTGATTCATATTTTGAGTGGGAGATTCCTCAAGGAACCCACAACGACATAAAATCTGTGGATGAACAACTCAATCCTAGAAAGAGGAAGGATTCCTTTTTAGGGGGAGCCAATGATAATGATGTCGGAAGCTCTTCTGCCACTGGTGATTCTTCAACCCATCCTCCTTCCAAGAAAATCAAGCTCACTATTGTTCTGAATGATTTAGCTAAATAATGGGATATAAGTGGTTGAGGAAGTTAGAGAAATTATGATGGAGCATAATGCTACTGTTCAAGCTAGAAAAGAAGAACTTCGATCCATTACACTTTCTTAGACTCTTGCTTCCGCTGATGAAAATGTTGATATTCAAAGCTTTAATGTTCAAAACAAGAACATTCAGTTGTTTAACAATAATGTGGAAATATAGCAAAGGGTTTCTGAGCTGAATGACATAATCAATAGAAAGAAGTTTGAAGATGTCCTGGCTTGTAGATCAAAACTTGATCCCATCATCAGGTTAAGGTACACTAAACCAAGGAACGATGTCACACCCCAAAACTGAGAACGGCGGAAACGTTCTGGGGCGGAGGACGTCATGTAATGTATCACAACAATGAATAGTAGTAAACAAGCAACAACATCATCCATTACATTAATAATATAATTTTAATACAAGTGTATTCTGACATGTTTAATAGACACTAAAGTATAAATCAAAATGAAAGATGAGTCTTGAACAAGCTCAATCTTATCTAAACCTTGCATCGGTACCTGTCTACTATTGACCTGAGGATACAAGTTATTTTGAAAGAGAGTATCAGCTTTAAAGCTGGTGAGATCATAAGTATTTTAGTGTCTTAATTTGTAAGAAAGTATTTGTAAGTAGGTGAAGTGTAAGTATGTAAAAGTTTTGAACCTCCTAGATAACCCTATGTTTCCTACTAAAAGTAGCCTTCTACCAAGGCATCTAGTATCTATGTGTGACTCTCGTAAGAGTGTGTATTTTACCAAATCCGACTATCATTAACCAAAAATATAGTTTTTACATTACCGTGCATCGTGTGCATGTTCACGCAGTGAATGTAATGGGATAAATATTATAGTACTATAGTATTGTAATAAGTAACTACTGTTGTACTAACTACCTTAAACCAATTGTAATTTAAAGGACCATGTGATTGGCCTGTATCCTGCTACCGACTCTAGTAAAACAACGATGTAAGACGCCGTAAGAAATGACATTTGGCACCCGTAGACTTGCAAGTCCCACTGTAGCGAGCAGCAAGGTGTAGGATAGTCAATCCAGTATAGATTTATACGCAAACTCATACGCTCCCCAATTAAGGAGATTATGGATACAAAAACGGTCCCATGCCCCGTTTAGTGGCTCACATAACTGTATTAATGTATATGTAATGTATGTGCTAGCTGTATTGTGTGTTCTTCCTCTGTCTAGCCTGTATTGTAATGAACTGTGTGTACTAGCTGTATTGATTGTTCTCTCTCTATCTAGCATGTATAGTAATGTACTGTGTGTACTAGGTGTATTGTGTGTTCTCTCTCTATCTAGCATGTATAGTAATGTACTGTGTGTACTAGCTGTATTGTGTGTTCTCTCTCTATCTAGCATGTATAGTAATGTACTGTGTGTACTAGCTGTATTGTGTGTTCTCTCTCTATCTAGCAAGTAGTGACTCATGTATGAACTGACTCATTGTATGATTTATTGCTCTAGTAATAGTATTAGTAACTTCCTAAACTATGCCTATTGTAGTTTACTAATAATATGACTTGTACTTATTAACATGAACGTATACCCTTGCTACCCAAGGGTGTTGAATTGATTGTATTTTACTAGAGCACACTTTCACAAACTTTTTAGGGTTTACGGTTCAAGATCATCTTTGACCGTAAACACCTTGATCTTGGTGTTTCTTGGGTGATTTATTGATATATGGAAGTGTAACAAGCCATAAGATACTCTAGGATAGAACTAATTACAAGATAGAGGCTTGAAAAGGTGCTAAAAGTCCAAGAACACTAGTGTGTACTCTTGGTGTTCTTGGTGAAACTTGAAGATCTACTGTAACGCCCGTAGATCCGGGCTAGTCAATTTAGAGGTAATAGGGGTCGAAAACGACTTTTCGACAAAAGATTATTTAGAATAAGTAATCTTAACCAAGTTGTAGAATATGTCCCAAGGTTTCCTTACATATAAAGAACACCAAAATCCGAGTTATAACAAAGAAGTTATGACCCGTTGAAGTTTCGCAACGGAACCTACACGATACCGGGAAACGTAAATAGTGAATTTACGATAGAGTGAGATTTAGCCTTTGCGATCTAAACGAAAAACGTAGAATATGTTATACTAAGAACATCGATAAAAAGAACGCTCAAATCTGACTTCGTATGAAGAAGTTATGATTTTTCGAAGTTTCGGATTAGGAGTGTAGAGCCCGAAATTCGAATGTTAGATCGAGCAGTATTTAGCCGACACGACCTAAACGAGAATCAAAGATATCGTTAAGAGTAGCGTAACAAGAAAAAGATGGGTGAAAACGGACGTCGGATGAAGAAGTTATGAGGATTTAACGGACTAATCCTGTCTCGGTCTGTTAAAAATATAAAATTTAAAATCAAGTCAAAATTAGACGACAAAGTCTAAACGAACGTTGTAGAGTACGTTCCCACCTTCGCGTGGATATAAAGAACGTCGAAAATGAAGCTCGTATGCGAAAGTTATGATTTTTAGAAGTCGGATTAGAAAATCACGAATCTGGTGCGAAGTTGCTGACGTGGCCGAATCTCAGCCATCCCTTGTTGCCCAAGCCTCGCTTCGGATGAGTAACACATGTCTTCGCATTATGCCCCGCGTACGAAATCCGGTACGCCCAGCATACCTTCGCTTCCCGTCCGACCGGTGTGCGAGATAGCTGGCTGCGAGCTGGCATCCATATCCGAGACTACGCCCAGCGTAGCCCCGGTATGCCCAGCGTAAATCCAAGGATGCTGGCCTATAAAAGGGGGTGCGAACCCTTTCGAAAAATTCACACCTTTATTCATTTCTTATCTCACTACTTTCTCTCTCTAGGGTTTTGAACCCTCCCTAAAGTCTAGGTGAACCCCTAGCACCCTAAGGAAGCCCCGAGGCTCCCGGAGTCCCGAGAAAAATGAGTCTTTCGGTTTCGAAACGCTGCTCCAATAAATTCCGGTTTTCGATAAAATTCGCTGTTTTATCGAAGGAAATTATTTTGAGAGTATCGAAGCACTGTCCGAGTGCTGAGTCACCACCTTTCAGGTGAGTGCATAGTTCCCTTTCATCTTACACATAGATACGAAGTATTTTATATAAATTACGTGCTATGTGTGCATATTATCTGAGTACTTGTTGTCTATGCTAAATGAACGATTTTATACATGTTTTAAATGATTTAAACTGTATATGTATTTTATATCTACGATAATGTTGGGGTAAACATGGGTAGATATAATAGATGGAATATGAGTTGAATGATGAGTTGAGAGGTGTTATAGACCACGAGGTGAGGGTGAGAGGTGGATAATGTGAGAAGCCTTTTTCCCAAATGATGGCCCTGTCATTCAGCAGAGTATGGATGACAACCACAGACTATTCTAAACAGTCAGTGGAACACTAGCAGGCTCGCAACCTGTAGGTGTTGTGAACGATGTGTTCACTCGGTGTACTCTAAATCTTGGTGATCATGCAGACTTGATGCCTAAACCCTGGTGATCATGCAGACTTGATGCCTAAACCTTGGTGATCATGCAGACTTGATGCCTAAACCTTGGTGATCATGCAGACTTGATGCCTAAACCCTAGCGACTATGCAGACTTAGTGACCGTTGTGTAAACTGTGGCTATGATGTACTTTGTTCCGATTCGTTAGGTTAATCCTTAGGAACGAATGAACGAGAAATAGCTGATTCTTAGGGTGGATCCTTCAGAGTAAAGAAGATAATGGGGATGGATAATTGGGTTTAATTGCTTGATTGATTAAACATAATAATTATATTACTGTGGATTGAAAACCGTATGTACTCACCAGGTTTCCCAACCTGACCCACTCAGTTCATTTATATCACAGGTGTTGATACGGAGTCACTTTACACTGAGAGATTTAAAGAGATGTAGATCACTAGTGTAAATAAATGTAAGTTCTATTCATGCTTATGTTTCTGTATTAACGATGACATCCCAAACATTTTGAAATGAATAAAATACGTTTCTTCGAAAATGTTTTAATAACGTATTTATCATGTATTTCTGGGAACAAATTCCGCAACATTTTTATAAAATGAAGTACTCTGATTTTTTAAAGCATAAACAAAATCGGTCTTTTCTGGCCGTGATTTTGGGGATGTCACAGTTGGTATCAAAGTATTAGTTTAAGCGAACTAGGAATATGGATCTATTTCTAGACTTAAACTTAGGATGCTAAGCAATGATTGTGTGGAGTGTGTCTAATAAAATTTAGGTAATACACCTGAATAGACATAAGCACTAGCTTATTTTAGGAATGATGCCTAAATTGCTTTTATGTGCTAAATGATTTATGATATGCATTATATGATCGGATCTATGGTCTGTTGCCGACCGGATCTGGAATTTTATGTGCTCATGTTTCTAAACGTTTAATTACGATATTAGAACTGGCATGTAACTTTTTGGAGTAATAAGGAGGGAATACGCGTTTAATTCTTCCTCTATCTATACTCTTGTCTCGATACACCAAACGCTTGCTTTATAAAATGTCATGACAAGGACTCATAGAGAATTGAGTAAGTGGAGGAAATGAAAAGGCTTACGATAGTGAATGACAACTATCGGAAGATATCATAAGAGTGGTATCTTGCCTTTAGAATATGTCATGCAGTACGTTTAGAGGAGTACAGTACGTCCGAAGTACACCTTCGATTGGCAGGATGATGGAATGATTGGCGTAATTCATGAAGTTGACCCATCGTATGGTATTTTCACCGAGCTGAAGCAGAATTAATGATTGAAGATACGCATAGAAGAAGTCCTAGTAGAGTCTAGGGAAAATTTTGTGATTGTTTGGACACATTTTTATGTGTTAAAAGTTGTTTTTGTGATAATAACTTGGGAAACTGCGAGACAATACTTGGGACAAGTATGAGTAGGTGTGAAAGGTAGTAGATGCATATACTACCGGAAGCACAGGACTCACGCTTGGATCAGGGAAAGTCAC